GAGAGGGAGAGGGAGATTAAGAAGGGAAAGATGGATTAAGAAGGGGCTTGGGGAAACTCTGTAGTATTTCAGGTGTCCTTTATCAGGTGCAGATCAGTAGGGGAAGTAAAAAAAGTACCGGGTGACAGTGGTTACCCCTTACTGGGTTCTTGCTCTATGCCAGTAAAAGCACAGTCTTCTTGAATCTTCACAAGCCCCTGGCCAGGCAGGGCCTCTCATTAGCCCTGTTTTATAGGGGGGAAATTGAGGCAGAGAGCTTAAGTCACTTAAGGCCTGAGGCCACAAAAGCAGTGGAGCTGGGGTCCCTGTCCAGCTCTGTGGTCATCATCCCTGAGCCATCGGGGCAGGTGGGAACTTGGCTTCAAAGCTTGGTGTGCATGAAATGTCACATGAGTTTATTTTTCAGACACAAATGTTGTACCCATCCTGCCAGGTTGGAAGGAAATTCCAGCTGAGCCATCACTAGGACTCCCTCGTCTCCCTGCTTGAGGTCACCCTGTCCCCGGCCCCTGAAGTCCTGCAAAGGTCTCAGGAATCTTATGCACAGCAGACCATTGGGGAGGAGTGTTGGCTGTGTGCCCCCTGCCCCTCACTGCTGATCCATTGCTCGGGCAACCCCCGTGGTTCTCTAGGGCTTCCAGGCCACACTTGGGCGTGAGGATCTTGTTGAGTCTGGAGCCCTTTGCGGCTCCCCACCTCCTGGTGCATCCTCATCACTCACACGCCCCCAGCCTTCTTCCACTTTCCACCCCTGAAGAGCCTCTTCCCCAGAGGCACCCGCTTGCCTCTCTCCTAAGCCCTGGCCCCTGCTGGGAGGCCCTCACTGAATTTAGAAAACAGGAAGGTGGGGCTGTGTTGAGGCAGCTTCTGCTTTCAGTCCAGCAACCCAACCGTCCCCCAGAGGAGGGAGCAACAAAGGCCCGGCACTTTGTTGGAAAGGGGTCAGGAGAGGGAACACAATGGGGACAGGAGCTGAATGGCTGTCACAAGGAAGGATCCTGTCTGCTTTTCTGATGTGGCTGTTGCAGTGGGCTTGTCTGGCTGGGAGACTTGGTGGGTTTAAAAGCATATATGAAGCCACCTTCCCAGTCAGCACAGCCCGCTCTAAGGCAAGCCTGAGAAGGAGGGGGTGTTGAGGTGGGAAGAGGGGAGAGCCCGGCCTGGCCTCTGGCCTCATCCCAGTCAGCAGCCTGTCAGCAGCCTCTCCCCTTGCCGCCCCCTCCCCATCCCGCCCCCTTCTGGCTCTGTGGGCGGAATTCTTGACTTGTGCCATGGGTGCATTGTGGGTGGTGGTGGTGAACTGTGTTTGGCAGTTGGGACCAGCCATAAATTATGTCAGCCAAGCATACCCTGGACCCTGACTCTGGGCAGTGCAGTTTGGGCCATGCAGACAACCTTGAGCTTCGGGAGAGAAAGCCTTGAGCTTGGTATTGACCAGCCCTCTCCTGCTCCCTTCCCCTCCAGACCCTGGCAGGGCCTTTCCTTGGCCTGGCTCTGAGCTGCCTGCTCACCCGGTCTGGCAGACTCTCAGCATCTGCCCTACTTGACAGGCCAGGGAGGTTGGCGGCGCTCCAGGGCCAGGCTCACGTCAGCGGCCGCCCGCCTGGGGAAGGGAGAGGACAGAGTCCCCAGAGAGCCCTGTAGGCTCATGGGCCGGGAACAGGTGAAACCAGGGCACTTGCATGCAGAAGGAGATGGAGGTGTGGGGCCACCCCAGCCTTGGGAGACCCCCACACACAGCACCTGGGTGTTCTCACTCCATTAGTTCATGCCTTGCCAGGCTGCCTAAGGCGCACGCCCACCCAGAGCCTTGTACACTTTCCTGCAGCATACTTTGATGCCCCCTGCCCCCAGTTCCCAGCCTGGGCCCTGTGCTCCGTTAGTTCAAGCCAGGCTGTCTGACTCTGCGAGTGGGGTCAGGGCTCCCAAACACTAGTCTGCCCACTACGCAGAAGCTCTCAGGAGCATTTAACAGGTGCAGATGCCTGGCACCACCCCAGACCTGTTGATTCAGTAGGTCTGGGGTGGAGCCCAT